TGTGGATTCCCTTACCAAGAGAAAGAAAATGAAAAAAGTGACACAACAAAGTACTCAAGGGTTTAAAGTGTACTAGAGCCCACTCGCCATGGCATGGCAGAGGTTGCAAAGATATTCCACAACTTTGGGGTCTTCAGGGTTAGCGCTCCAGATGGAACATGGCCTCGGACCTGTAGAAGCACCATGCGGCTAACCTGACAGTGCAGGGAGTGAACGTATGCAGGGTCCAGTGACTGAGCACATTAGACTGGCCCTGCATCTTTATTTGGTGGAGTTCAGTCATGGTCGGCCAAAGCAATAACCGATCCAGATAGATGCTATTAGGCACCGCAGTGTCATGAAGCAGCTTAGGGAGAAAAAAACAAAAAAAAAAATTGTGTAATGGGTGTATTCAGAGCTGAAAGAAGGCGTCCATCACCTAAAGACACTAGCTAAAAACTTAAGGCTAGGAATGTGAAGGGTTATGCAAGGCTGTGCCTACAGCTTTGATTCATTTACCAGTGTCTGATTACCTGGAGGTAGTTACATAACTCATTGGTTAAAAGATTTACACTCAACAAATGCAGTAATCTCTGGCTCTCAATAATGCTGTAAATTTGAATACTTTACGTGACTGACCTGGAATAAGTACAGATATACAGATTTATAACTTTTGTCTGATATTAATTTGCCGCATGCTTGTTTTGGGTAAGCGCCCCAGAAGTACTTAATTAGCATCTTCAGAAAATGGCCAATAACGAAAGCCCCTGTGTGATATGTGAAGTTTAAACAGGATAGCATTTACAAACCTGTCCATGACTTACAATACAAAATAAAGAGCAGCAAGCAATAACATGGCAGCTATTTTAAAAAATGATCTTCAAGTAAACGTTACCATATTCTCAAATGAGAACTTGCTGAAAATATACTGCAGTATTCACTTTATTTCATTTGTATGAGTTATATTTATGCAGCACATCCAGACTGCTCCCTACAGTGTCTGTCTTTGTTCAAAATGAGATCCAATTCTGTTGACTCTACATGCATGCAGACTACAGCAATAGTTTTTCTAATGTTCTATAGGTCCTCTATGGCACCTTGTCTTCTAATGCCACAGTGACAGAGGTCTCATAAAAGACAACTGGAAAAGAAGTACACAGAAAGGAAAAAAAAAAGACTTGGGTAGGATTTGAGCAGTAGATGTGAAATATAACACAACACTATCCTTAATCTAAACTACAGAACAAATACATTCCTATATAAAAAAAAGAGAAATTAAAAAGTTTTGTACCCAAGACTGATGGAGATTAGCAAAATATCTACATCTCAATTAAAAAGATAACTATGGGGTGTTTTTCCCCATAGTTTTCTTTAGGGTCACGGGAGGACATATACTAACCTCCTCCCGTGACCCATAGCTCAGTAAAAAATAGTAGGCTATTCCACTCAGCGCTGGAGAATCAGAGAGAGGAGGGGGGAATCCTTGCAGGGTAACTAACAGTCACCGCTCACTGCAGGGAGACGATCGGGAAGTGAGCGGATTGGCTGCATGTTTCTGCTCACTTCCCGATCAATATAGCCGACCTGTGACAGCTTCTGTCACAGGTTTGCTCTAACTATGAGGATGAGTGGAAATCACTCACCTCATAGTTCTCCTATACAATACAGGGATAAGCCATTACATTATGACCACTGACAGATTAAGTGAATAACAAGGATTATCTTGTTACAATGGCACCTGGAAGTGGGTGGGATATATTAGACAGCAAGTGACCATTTTGTCCCTTATGTTGATGTGCTGGAAGCAGAAAAAAAAGAAAACAGGTAAGCATAAGGTTTTGAGTGACTTTGACATAGGCCAAATTGTGATGGCTAGACAACTGGGTCAGGGATACTCCAAAATTGCAGCTCTTGTAAGATATTCCCAGTTTGCATCAGGACCTACCAAAAGTGGTCCAAGAAAGGAAAAATCGGTGAACTGGTGACAGGGTCATGGGCGGCCAGGGCTTGCTGATGCATGCGGGGAGTGAAGTTGCTAAAAAACGTTCATGCTGGTTCTGATAGAAAGGTGTCTGAACATACAGTGCATGGCAGTTGGTTGTGTATGGGGCTGCATGGCTGCAACCCAGTCAGGGTGCCCATTCTGACCCGTGCCCACCTCCAAAAGACTGTTGCTCTGATGATAAAATAGGCAAAATCAAGTATTCTCTGAGCGGAAGAATTCGGTGTGGTTTTGCTGAAAGTTGAAACAGAGAAGGTCAAAGTTTGTACCAAAAGGGGGCAAGATGGAGGGATTTATTTTTTCCTGAAGCTTCCTTAGAACCTGTGGAATCAGAGGGAAGTTTGGCAGTGGGGGTTAAGAGAGAAGCCTAACAGCTGGGTCAGTGCTTTCAACCCTACTGCCTTTTCCCAATAAAGAAAACGAAAAAAAAAAAACACAGGAACCCTTGCATTCTCTTGATTTCCAAACATGTCCACCCGGGGCATACCCCATTTACTCTTGATGATCTGAAAAACATTCCAATTTCACACCCATTCAGATTCTAAAAGGTGGCCATACACCTTGCAACCATTGTACAGCTTTTTGTGTGCATCTTTTTCAATTTTCTTACAACTAGCCCATCATGCACAGACCAATGTAGTTCGCAGTTAACGCTCATCAGCACCACCACCTGGCCAATTTTCATTGATCAAAAGGACAGATTTTCATTTGAGTATGTGCAGTTTGCATCTTGAGATTTTTGTTGTGCAACACCACCACTAACCTGTCAATTTTCATCCAACCAGACAAAAGTTTTCTAGCCTGCTTAAAAGTCAAAAATCTGCCAGGTTGTACAGTAATTGAGGTTGTACACTCCCCATTAACTGGCAGGTGTTCAGACGAAAGCGCAATGGGAGACAAAAGTCTCCAGATAATTGTGAGGTGTATGGGCACCTTGTGTCTGCTTAGGGAATCCACTACCATGTTCACCCTTCCTTTCAGGTTAACCGCCGTTAAGGATGCCAAGTTTACCTGTGCCAGTCAAGGATCTCCCCTGCTAGTTTGAGGACTTTGCTCCAGGTGCCTCTCCGTTTGGGTATATGGGCCACTGCTGCGGCATTGTCTGAAAAAAACTTAGACGTGCCGACCCTGAAGCTCCTGCTGAAACAGGACCAGATCAATGGCCTTCAACTTCCTCCAGTTGGACAACCTTGCTGCCAATCTCATGGACCATGTTCCCAGTGCCGTCTTTTTGCTAGATGCGTTCCCTAGTCCCAAGAACTGTCATCTACCGGATCCCCACTGGAAAAGTCCACAACAACCCTTTTGATAGATTTGTGCTTTTCTTGACCACCAGAGGATCTTATACTCTGATGGGAAGCCTTGTGTTGAAGTCTAAAGACTGGATTTATCCCAGTAGAACATACTGCTGCAGGGGCTGGAAATTAAATTTTGCACTGCTGGGATCGAGGAGGATAAAAGGCCAAGAGCCAACATCGCTGACCTTAGAGACAGACCCTGGTTGGGCTGAAAACGTGATATAGCCAACTACAGCTTTTCCATCCTTTCCTGGTGGAGAAAGATCTTCTGGTGGACTGAATCAGTAAGATAAACAAAAAAGGCAGCTCTTGAGATGGAGCCAGATTTGATTTCTGCAAGTTTATGATCCATCCCAGAGTCTCCAGAATCCAGTCTCAGATCTGTGTTTACCCAATACCATGAAAGGGCAAAAAATAAGGAGGTCATCAAGATAGGGGAATACAGACACCTCTTGCAGGTGGAGCGGTGCCAGAGCCTCTGCCATCACTCTGGTAAAACAAACACTCAGTGCCGAATACAGACCCAAAAAAAAATAAAAAATAAAATAGAGTTCTATAAAAGATGCGGCTGATCCGAACCCACTATACGCAGCAGCTCCGAACCTACAGAGCTGTCACAAGTACGTGCCGATACCACTCTTAGTCCCATCCTGCTTAGATTTGTCAGGGGACAACAATCTCAGGCCAGCAGACCGAGGACGATCGTCACTAGGGTTGGTTAACTCCACAGTTAACCTTTTACACACATAACAGTAGCCGCCACCACGCGTTTTATTAGAAAGATGCACTGTTCTCAGCAAATGCTGTAACAATTCAAAAACTTAAATGCCTGATACCACTGTCTCTTCAAACAGGAATATGAAAGATTTCACTATACAGTAGCACTCTTCACTAAGACAACGATACTTAACTAAGCTTAATGATTTTAAAGATTATTTTTTAATAAAAAAGATGGTGCAGGAAAAATATACAAAAGATGATGTTAAAGAGACAGATAACAGTAAAATAAAGAGAACTTAACAAATCCTGGGTTTAGTAAGTTCTAGCATAGTCTAGTTCAGTGCAACAGAAGGTGGATCTGAATGGCTCTTTAAGTAAGGCTTGCAAAGATTCTTTCTTGATGTTAAAGGGGAACTCTTCTTGGACGTACAAGAGCTTCTCTTTTTATTTTACGAGATTCTCCTGACTGCCTTGCACAACAGCTTTTTTTCGGTCCTTACAAGTTTGTTTGTTTTTTAAAAGGGGTTTTTTAAAATTACTTTAGCAAGATAGAATGCCTCACTAATCAAAAGACTACAAAAGCAAATGGAGCAGGGCCAAGTTCAACTTTTATACGTTCAAGATTGCATATGCATCTAAGGCTCTGCTGATAGTTTTGACACGCAATTTTTAATTAAGGGTACTTCTATTAAGAAAAAAGTCACATGTAAAGGCTCATATGCAGAATATGTCCAAATAATTTGTCCGAACACTCCGCAAAGGAAGTCAACATATACGTCACAGCATTGGAGAGCCGAACCTATCTCAAAACATGCATCAAACAAAAGATGGGATCCTTTAGGCCTGCTGTAAAAAGAACAAAATTATAATGGTTACATATTGTAAAATGGGTTTTCTGCACACGAGCAATAAAAATGATATAGCAGTTGTGAGAAGCAACTATTTTCATATTTAACTTGAACCACAACAAGCATTGTAACAAAATCATGCAGCAATGCTTCTATTGCTCGCCAACAATATTAGGTAGGCTGCAGGGCAATCCAGCCCTCCAGAGTTAACCACACAACATTTCCATGCAGTCATGCTTATTACAAACCATTATATACCTGTGAAAATTAGACCCAAACTCACTGATGAGGTGGCAAGAAAAGACAAGAGAAGTAAAGTTAGAAATTTAAAAAAAAAAAAACTCTTTATATAAATAACAAAACAGAAGCAAAAATGTTTGCCAAGTTAGATGAGCTATCCTGAACTGCAATGAAAAGTACTGTAGCAGACCTACAAAAAGGTAGTTCACTGTACATTTCCTAAAACTAAAACAAGGTATTCAAGATTATATAAACAATGAAAACCATGGCAATACAGTACACCAAATGGTCAAAATTACTAAAAGAAAAAGTAATGCAGATATTTGAAATAAATTAATTTCAAGTCCAGCCCAAAAATTATTTTGTTTTGGAAAAAAAGTGTCAGACCTTGTTTAATCCCATTCAGGAAAGAGAAAACAACAGTTGGGTGGGGGAACAGTCTGAGGTTTTAACCCTCGCACCGCAGAAAAGTTTTGGCTGGAGTTGAGCTTTAAGGGCCAATTCAAACAAGGAGGACCGGTATTTAAATATGCAGCATAAGAAAGCAAAACAAAAAACAAACACCTTTTAAACATTTGAGTCAACCTGCTTCTAGGACCATATGACTACCTCCTTCCCTAGAAGCAGCCCACGGGGTTCTGCCGGTAAGCTAATGCCTGGTGTACTGCAGATGCATGGATTTTTTCTTTGTGGTAGTGGTGCTCCAAATAAAAACAGACAAGCTAGCATACCGAAATCCATGGATTGATTTAAATCAACAAAACCTCAAAAGGTAAAAGTCCAAGAACATGTCAAGTGAGAAGGTTTATGCACTTATACTGCACCCATGTACCAGACGTACTCCAGGTAAAGCCATACTCCAGGTGAAAACTTATTAAAAAGGCATGTAGGTATCTTCTTGTATCTTATGCTCTTGCATTACATATTTTAGCAGCATTCTTGATTTATCCTTAAAGGGAGCACAGAACCCCCCCCCCCATAATTCCTGTACTGGGGAGCAGACACCTGTATCTGCACTGCGTGCAGCCGGGCAACTGATCTTCCCAACACACCATGTGTAGTTTTAACTAGAGCTGGACATTTTAATATGTCCTTCATAACCTGCTTGCTGAACAAAGAAAATATTATAAATTCCTCCATCAATGATTACAAATTTTTTATTGAGCAGGGGTGCGGGATTCCCATCACCGGACACCCGGGACATCCCGTTCCGGGCACCAGGCAGGTGTTTTTTCTACATTTAACCCTGCTGCAGGCAGGGGTAAACGTAGAGAGGAGCGCCCCCATGCCCCCGGGTCCGTTCCCCGAACATTCAGCATTTGAAATTAAGACATTTACGCCTTATCAGTTTCATAAGATGCCAGGAGCAAAAGATCATTCTGCTTTTGGGTGCATTAATATATGCTTTGACAAAGAACAGAAAGTATAATAAAGGAACTGCTGCAATCTTTCTCTTGTTATATCTGAATTTGGCATACAAACCAGCAAAACTCAGGGACCAATGTTGCTTGGAGCATGTTTTAGTACCCACTAGTCAAAATTAGCAGTTTAAACTTTGTTCCATTAATAAAACACACACACAATGACCTGACTAAAGCAGTGAGAATTTGTTCACACTATACTGCATACAGCAAAGCATGGTTCCATGTGTTCTCCAAAGTGCTGCATTGAACGGGAACTGCAGGGCAATACATCAAAACATGCAGCACATCAGGATGTTCGTTCTCACAGCAAGCCAACACAGTGCATATAGGACATGCATCTCAAAGTGCTGGACTCTGCATTATCCTGCATTTTGTTTGTACTGTGGAATAATGTGAACAAGTCCAGAAAACACATGACTTACAATCACGTATTTCCTTTTTTGCTTATATAGACAATGCTGTAACCTACAAGAATAAACTCCGCAAGTGGGTACAAGTGGACATTTCTATTTTCATCATTAAACTCTTCTGAACAGCTCAGCTCGACACAGTAACATGATAAAATAAATAATTGCTAACAGTACAATGAAGCTTACAAACTAGCAGACATGCAGATCTAGTAAGGAGTGTGTGGCTTGTGAGGTTTGGATGCACACTCATGCAATCACTGTACCTGTTGATCACTTCATTTCTGAAGGAAGATTCCAAGAAAGTGTGAAACAAAAGTAGAGAACATCAGACAAAATAGTCCCAACTACTACAGATGAATAAGTGGTAGGCGCTACATGCAGTATATGTACTACCTCTAATAAGTCCAAGGCTCAGTTATTTAATAATTGGATTTTAAAGCAGATCTACCACATAAAACATGAAAAACACACCAGTTTCACTTCAGAAAATCTTAACCATAGTGTTGTCACAAAGTATTAAGCTTAGATAATACTTTCAAAGGAACCTTTGCACAAAAGGTCTTTCTTTCGACTTTGTATTAGCTGATGAGGTCAGAACTACCATCAATTTCAACCACGGTGGAAAAAAAAACTTGAAGCAGGACGGAAAAAATTTTCTCGAACAAACAAAAATCTGTTTGAATGTTGTTTTCATTCGGGAACCTCCATTCATTCCAAAATCAAACGAAAATTCCATCAACATTTGTCAAGTTGCATTATCGGGAGGTAAAGATCTTTAGTACAAAAGTTCATTTGGAAATCTACTAGTGAATGGCCAGCTTAAGAAATACCAACTCATATTCCTTTCCCAAATTTGTTTTAGCAAGACAGTTACGAAATTTTGCAACCAGAGCCAGTCACAAACCCACAGTGCATACTGGGACTGGGTCAACCTGTAAACAGTGTGAGCATGCTCTGTATCCTGTAAATTGACTGGTCCTGCTCTAACATAGTCATGAATGTTTAGATCTGCAGTTTAATGCAGATAATTTATGCTCCACAATTAACCTAAGACTGCAAAAGCACACAGATGTAGCACACAGCCACATGGTTTAGCTATATGCAATATCTATCAGAATGGTTCAGTGTGATATGTAGGTGATAAGTCTGCTTTAAAGCACCAGAATTGCCAGATTACCGACAGCCAAAAAAATGAACCTGGAGTTGCACCAATCCCTTACCTTTCCCTAAAAAGAGCCTAAAATGAAAAGTAGTCATGAAATTTTCAGGAAAGTATGGTATGATTACGATGTCTCAATGTACGATGATTCTACTGAATATGCTAATACAATAAATGCACAGCTATTCTAGCAATGCTCACTTATACCCATTACTATACATGGGCAAAAAGCAATACAAGAGCATTCGGACTCTACAAACTAGCAGGGAAGGAATATGTATCACTAGATGGGTTTCTTTGAAATTAGACCTCTCCTCAACAAAAATGGATTTCCCGAATAGCCTGACAACAGCAGCTCTTCACAAACGCTTGAAAATTTCTGTCAAGCTACCTACAAATTTGTTTCTCTAGGAAAAACCTTTTACCTTCTGAACTCCAAAAATTGTGAGAATGGGAATGAGAGAGACATGATAATTACTGATGTAGAATTGCAACATATTTTCAGGACGTTTCCATTGTAGTCGCACACTCTTACCTTTTTACCAGCACCCACAGTTGCTTTGGCTGTGCCCCTGACTTTCTTCATTCTGTTCTTTCTTTCTTTACGTTGTTTTCTAGAAGTCTTTTTCTTTTCATACAACCCATGCTATAACAAAAACAAAAAACGTTTACGAGGACAGATATCTTGAAATGATGACAATTCAACACCAGCTCCCCACCCTCCAAGTTCTAAATAAATTGCTTTAGATAAGTTTGTTTTAACAAAGCTGATGCAAGCTATGCTAATGGGTCTAGTAATGTCTCACACTCGAGAGTATCCAGGGGGGAACTCTGACAGCTCCATTATTTGTAACTAACTTCCTTTAGCATTCTGACAACACACCTCACATGTCACATCTACCAAAGGTTTTACATGTCAAATACTGAACTGTCCACTGTAATTACCCTGGCAAGTCTGTGTTTGGGTTCATTTTTCTTCGCATAGTCTAGGGAATCGTAGATCATGCCAAAGCCAGTAGTTTTGCCGCCTCCAAAGTGAGTCCTAAAGCCAAATACAAAGATCACATCTGGGGTAGTCTTGTACATTTTAGCCAGCTTCTCCCTGATTTCAGTCTTGGGGACAGTGGCTTTTCCAGGATGAAGGACATCTATGACCTGTAAAACAAAAGAAAAGTTGGTAGCCACATGTGTTACTATCCATTATGAACATTATGAATGCAGGTCTAAGTTTAGAAAAATCCAAGAAGAAAGCAATGGTAACCCCATAACATCACAATAAAGGTATCTTCACAAGATAACTGGATCTGAAATGGTTTTGCTCAATTCCAAGACTGATCTTTAAAGACTTAACATTCTAACTATAGAATACGTTTTATACACAAAGCTAACACACCAGGATAAGAATACTTATTTTCAAAAAAGTGACAGTTTTCAGTTGAGTCCAATGAGATTTGAACATTTCAGTCACATGTCTAAAATACAGGTCCTTATCCTTGTGTTAAAGCTTTGTGAACTGAGCCCAGTGTGTTCACCACAAAAGAAGCAACCACGGTTTTCAAATACATACCATCTGCTTCCGCTGGAGCAGTCTGTTGGTCATAAACTTCCTTGTTCTAATAGTGACGCTGTCGTTCTGGAAATTAATGAAAACAAGTCACATTAGGACAAAATAACCAAATATACTTTCAGCAACACAAGTCTGGACAAGCACAAGACATATATTCCAGTTCACAGCCACTTAAAAGCATAGTCCACCTTTTGTTAACACGTAATAAAAAAATGCATTTTACAATAAAATAAAAAATGTGCACTAAATGTTTGCATTGGAAGCCTGCAGAGCATTGCAAATGCAATCACTGAATCATAGCTCCAATGCTCAGACTCTCACAGACTATCCCCCAGACCCAGGTGCGTACCAAAGTATGGCCCTTCCGTTATGAAGCTGGAGGGAGTAACTAATGAACTCAAAGTGCGGTGATGTCATTGCACTTGTACTCCATTGAGATCTACGAGTACTTCTGATGCAGTGGCAGGTGTCTTGTAGGGAGGTGTCTCTACATTCAAAGATCCCGGTAGGGATGTTCAGATACAAAGTACTGTACTCTGTACGAGTACATGTACAGATACTTTTCCAGCTCCAAGACTAGACTAGAGAAAAACTCAAGTTAGGAGGCAGCTGTCATTTTTAAAGGAGCATACAGAGCTCCCGGGATTTGTGCCTCTGTTTTAATATATGATTTTTTTTTTCATAAATAAATATTCGGGATGCACCGATACCATTTTTTCAAGTACCGATACTTGTCCAAGTACCGATACATTTTTGTTCATTGTCATGTGACAGTTTTTCTAGAACAATACAGACTAATGATTTCATTAGCGGTGCGGCGGCTCTCTGATCCAGCGCTGACTGCTCTGTCCTTCCTTGCGTCTCTGCTCGTCTACCGGCCGAGAATCGGAACTGCGCATGCGCCCGCCCCAAGATCCTTTGCAGCCGTACGATCACTTCCTGATTCTCGGCACGGGAGCGAGCAGCGATAACGAGGTAAGTTTAAAACTAGTTAAAGCGGGTTTTTTTTTTAAAAACATCTTGCCTATATCTACTGCTTGCTAGCAGTAGATATAGGCAAAAAAACAGAGGGTTTAGAACCCCTTTAAGGAAGACTTTACCGCAAGGTTTGCTTTAAAGTATCTCTAGACAACACTTATTTTCTTTCTTAGTTTTAACCTTCCTTGCGTCTCTGCTCGTCTACCGGCCGAGAATCGGAACTGCGCATGCGCCCGCCCCAAGATCCTTTGCAGCCGTACGATCACTTCCTGATTCTCGGCACGGGAGCGAGCAGCGATAACGAGGTAAGTTTAAAACTAGTTAAAGCGGGTTTTTTTTTTAAAAACATCTTGCCTATATCTACTGCTTGCTAGCAGTAGATATAGGCAAAAAAACAGAGGGTTTAGAACCCCTTTAAGGAAGACTTTACCGCAAGGTTTGCTTTAAAGTATCTCTAGACAACACTTATTTTCTTTCTTAGTTTTAGATAGAGTGGTAAGGGTTAGATCTGTCAAGTTTGTATTGTGTACACATCGAGAGTCAACCCTCCATCATTAATGATGACCATTGTCAGTGAGAAAGAGAGGGAAAATCTCTAGAACAAGAGGCGAGGGGAAAGTCTTCCAATGGGGACAACCATCTAAGAGTATAATCCTTCATTTGAGGCATTTCCTCTTCATGTTGCACCTTTGGGGGGACAGGAAGGGATGGTAAACACCAAAAAAGATACCTCACAGGGTTTAAACCCTTACCTACTCTACCCAGAACTAAAAAAGGTTTTGGCCATGCATATCCTTTCGCTTCAAGTTTTAATACTACCATCTTTAAATTAAATTAAGACATCCCCTCCCGTGATTAAGGCCTGTCAAAAAAACAACTTTGTGGCAAAGGTCTTTCTTCCGATGTTCCTTGTCAGCTGTGTCATTGGGGGTGGTGTGGACTGCACCCGTGTGACACCAGTGTACCAGGTCCGGTCTGCTCCCAAAGCCCAAGAAGACGGGACTATTATCAGCATGGCAAGTGAATTCAGGGTGGGGAGCCGACCAAAGAATGTCCGTCTCTGATCTGTTCTGTGTGATCAGCGAGACAGGAGTGCTGTACTCACAACGCTTCCTGCCTCAGCTGTCACAAGCCAGGCTGCACAAGAGATTGTGCACACTGCTGTGAGGACAGGGGAGACATTCTGCCTTTTCTTACTTATGACACCAACCCTAATGACACCTCTGTCCCTTGTTTAATAAACTCAAGTTGTCAGCACAGACCTGCTGATCTTTTTTTATAAAGATCAACAGCTCTCTGACTGCATTTTACTATTCTGGAACTGAACTCTTCATACAAGGCTGGAGAGCAGGACAAGAACTAAGGCAAGACTGGACGAACCCCAGGAGTCAGGTCACCAATGCTTCTCTAGTTAATGGAGCCGACTCCTAAATATTATCCTGCTGGCTCCTGGATTGGGCAGTTTGGCTCGTTAATTCCATAATAATTTGTGCACCCCTGCACTAAATGTACAGAAGATCCTTTACAGGGGATGTCTCCTATACCCAGAACTACACCAGTGACCCCGGACATAGAAGAGGACAGCAGTGACCCCACAGGCAGGAGAAAAGGACAGCAGTAACCCCACAGGCAGGAGAAAAGGACAGCAGTAACCCCCCAGGCAGGAGAAAAGGACAGCAGTAACCCCCCCAGGCAGGAGAAAGGACAGCAGTGACCCCCAACGAAACACAGCTCCCGGTAATGCAGCACTAAGCCTGGGTAGCGTAGTAGGCCGCCAGCAGCTGAGCCTCCACTTAGCACTTTGTTTACTAATAACTACAACCCGTTCTCAGATACCGCGACCATCCTCTCCACAGATTCCAGGAGAACATATACAAAGAAAAGCAGAACCCTCCGAAGCCGGATGGCCGCGATATTCCCCGGATTGTCTTACACCCGCAGCGGCGACACTCACCATCTTGCCACCGTCTCACTCAGGGAGGAAGGAAAGAAAGAACGAGACCCTCTCAGCCAATCAAATTGCAGCAGTAGGAGGAAGAGGGCGTATCTACTCGATTTTACACGAAGCGCATTGATTGGTGGAACGAGGCTTCAAGCTCTGGCGCCAGCCTACTAGTCTGCACTTTCTGTGTTCCAGAAGCAAATAAAGACATTTCTATACGCTAAGCAAAACGTTATTATTGTTACCAGCATTAGTAATGTGGAGATAGAAAAGCCCGCAGAAACCGGTTGACATGAAGAATTCTACTCGTAAAAGTAGCACCCTCTGTGTTTGTTTTGCTGAGTGCACATAACAAATTCCTGACGGTGGCGCTGCAGAGGAGGTCTTGTAGCTAGACGCAAGGCCTGCCTATCCGTCCAAGCGGGTCTATGGTAGAGGTGGAAGGTCTCCCGGAAGTGATATATGCAGCTAGTAAAGCTTTCCTCATGTTGTGAAGTAGGGGAAGCTCACGTGTAGCGGTAGATGAGAAGTGGCGTGCGGGCTGAAGTACAGGGTTCAACATGAAGGAACAATTCAGGGAGACTGATGTGGCTAAGAAGATGTGAGTGCTGCTGGTTTCTGATCCATGTTGACAGGAGTGTCATGTCCATCGTATGCAAGGGAGTCATGTGCTCTGCACTCAGTCACTCCAGATTTAACATGGCAGCCCATAGCTGCAAATAATTTCAGATACATATTAGACTTGCTGGTGGAAGAAAGCTTTGTACAGTGCTGGAGGATTTATAATTTTATTTGACCTATCACCAAAAGTGCTGCAATGCTTGGCACTGAGGCTTCCATTATATTCGATGGTTCCCATTTGCATCTGCTTGAAGCTTGTCACTCAAAAAAAAAGTACATAAGCTTCTTTTAGGGGCAGTTGTGCATATTAGGCCTCATAGACTTCAGTGGGAGTGCCTGCAAAGATTTGCCTTTTTTTGTGCCTTGTCTTGCCTACTAACTAGTTTTCCATTGGCTTAAAATAATAATAAAAATGCTCAAGCCTGAAACGTGCAACAATAAAGAGTCATAAAAAACTAAAAATGCTCAGCTGACTTGTGAATGGGGCTTCAAAGTCTATCTGAAGCCAAAACCTTTTTTAGTGTAGAGTACTAATAAAAACGCGGTCACACTTTTTGCCATCTGTCTCCCATTGAAGAGATTTTCCTTCATTTCAAGTACAACAGGAAGTGAGGGGAGATCCCCCCCAGTGAAGGATGTCCCCTCTTAGACCGATGTCACCCGAATCAGTGACTCTAATACAGGATTTGCCTTCTATTCCAGTAATTACCCCAGTTAGATTCTTCCCACGTTTTCTGTCTCTGACAGTTTTCCCCAGTGGGGACATACAAGGCAGTAAAAACCTGGCATGTGCTTTAAGGAAGATCTCCAGGCAAGGGTTAACTGCTCGTTTTCATCTAGGTGCTAAAATAAAAAAGTTGTACTCGCCTACTTCTTGGAGCAGGGACATTGTATGTTCCTTGACGTCCTCATGTTCAGTGTATTGGATGTGATGACTCAAGGATCCTTCAATTGCTGGCGAGGAGGGAGAGAGCGGCTCAAGGGACTGGTCTAAGACCAAGCCATCTCCGAGGATTGGGTGAGTATAATTTTTAAATTTTTGTCCCTAGATGCAAACGAGTTATTGACCCCTGCAGTGCAGGGGTAGCCCAATGCAAAGGTTAATACATTTTGCCTGGAGTTCTTTAACACTTCTCTACTCCATCCAGAGCTAAATCCACCGAACATTTGGCTATAGATGTACTGTTAAAGTTCTTTTGTGTATTGTCTGTTCAGCTGCATGTTCTGCACACTACCACGCATGTATCGTGCAAATAGGGCACATAGAAAATCATTGTATTCTATGTGCCCTGCTTAGAACACACATGTGGTTGGTGTGCAAGAATGCTCACCTAAACGGACATAGTGTGAACAAGACCTATATTTTTGGTGTGCCTTACCACGTGTGCCCTTCAACCTTAGTTGTGCTGTACCATGGTTGTGCACTAAGGCCCAGCAGGTGGTTGGGTGTGCATGCACAGATCTGACCGAGAACTAAGAATGTATGTCTACCAGTTTTTCTATAAACAGGAATGCTCAACCAAGTGTTCATGGTTATTCCTTTTCATAGAGAATTTAATGTGGGAGTACCCATAATATGGCTGAAAATGGCCACATTGGGTGACTCTTCTTATATGTAGATGTTCCACTTTAAGGCCCTGTTCACACCTTTACGTTTTGTTGCACTGTTCAAGGCTCTATGAACGCTCTACAAAACGTACAAACATGAAAATCCCATTGTTTTCTATGGGTATGGTTCACACCTTTCCGTATTTCCGCCCGTCTGAAACGCCCTACAAAACGGCCTACGCTCAAACAAGTACTTCTTTGGGCCGTTTTTGTTGGGCGTTTCCATTGGGATACAGCCAAGTAGCCCTCGGAAACGCGGGTTTGTCGCGCTTTTTTTTTTTACCGTGAATCGCGGTTAAAAAAAACGCGCGACAGACGGGCATATTCAATACGCCTAGGTGTGAACCCAGCCTAAGACCTAGATCACATGGGCTTAAGCTTGTATAAGAACAGTTATCAAGTTTTTGCAAAGCATGCGTAAAGCTTCCGGCCATGTTCGAGCCTTGAAACCTGTTAAGTAGAGGTGCACCGAAATGAAAATTTTAAAATGGAAAGTGAAAAAAAAATGTCGGACCAAAAATGTTTCTTTTTCTAACTTTTTCAAATTTTTTCAAATATTTTATTTTCATTTTTTCAAATAAACTTTTACATTTTATTTTTATTAAATATTTTTATTTTTTACTAAACAGACCCCTGATATTTCCCTCCTTAAAATAGAAAAAGAGATTGAAAACAGAATCCTCAATCTCTTTTTCTGTATCCTCAGTTCTAAATGAACAGGAATCCTCTTGCTGAGTATTCCTGTTCATTCATAACATGAGGACAGAGTGTGTTTTCTATAACCACAATCACGAATGAACAGAAGGTGATGTAAATTACTTCCCATTCAAAATTTAGGATATAGTAAACATACAATGTCCTCAATTATTTACAAACACTCAGCGATCACTGACTGCTTGTACCCGCTCTCCATCCTGACACGCTGTCACAGGAGGCTGAACGAGCAGTGCAGGGAGAGCTCGATCTGACAGCTGACTCCTCCCCCGCACAGCCGGCCTCCTGTGACAGCGCTGGGTGTCTTCGCCCCCACACACTGCTCTCCTCTGATCTGTGACAGGAGGCTGAGTGGTGTGGGAGGAGAGACGCTGGCCGCTCACATCGCTCTTCTGCAGCGCTTGGCCGCCTGTGACAGCTTCTCTCCTCCCTGCTGGGACACAGAGCAGCGCCCAGCGGGGAGGAGAGAAAGCAGGGATGCGCTGCTATATCGGCAGACATTTTTTTAGCCGCTACATTGGTGCATCCCTAGTTTTAATCATTCTTCAGCTCTAGTTTTGGAATGTTAAACACAGATCTTAATGGGAGTGCTGACTGTGACTTTAAACAAGCTCCTTGCAGGTTTTTAGCAGGCATTTAACAAGCTTTAAGTGTTAGGCCTGGTTCCCACCTGGGCGTTTTACAACGCGTCTCTACGCGCTTTAAAACGCTCAGCATGTGAAAACCAATAAATGCCTATGTGCATGGTTCCCACCTGGGCGTATTTCAGCGCGTAGAAACGTGCTGAAAAACGACCTACGCCCAAAGAAGTACAGGACCTTCTTTGCGGCTTATTTTCCGTGCGTATCCATTAGGTTACAGCCGGATAGCCCTCGTAAACGTGCGTTCGTTGCGCATTTCTTTTACCGCAAATCGCGGTAAAAACGCGCGGCAAACGTGCATATTCCATACGCCCAGGTGTGAACCCAGCCTTACTGAAGCCTGCTAGCAGCTTGATTAAGTGGCAGTCACCACTCCCATCGGGATCTGTGTTTAATATTTCCAAACTGTAGTTGAATTGTGCATTAAAAGCATAAACAAAATACCTTTTAACCTTTAAATACTTACTGTTTACACTGCTCTTGTACAGTATGAAGTCTGTGTGAACTAGACTCTAAGCATGATCTGTTAAAACTTACCATTTTGTTTTACTTTTTTTTTTTAATTAATTGTATTGGTAATAGTATAGGTTATTAAAAATTTCCAAAATACAGAGAATTTATGACATACCCATGTCATAAATTCTGGTCTGTACGTGTAGGTGAAGCATATGATCCTGGTCAGTACGTGTAAATGATGCATATGATCCTGGTCAGTACGTGTAAATGATGCATATGATCCTGGTCAGTACGTGTAAATGATGCATATGATCCTGGTCAGTACGTGTAAATGATGCATATGATCCTGGTCAGTACATGTAAATGATGCATATGATCCAACTATAGCAGTGTTAAGAAACACTGCGCATGGGTCGCGTGGCTCATGAATGATGGGATGATGATTTGAATGTGGGTAGTGGTAGGCTAAATATTTAATAGGGGGTTATCTTGGTAGTTGACTACGTGTTGGAAGGAGGCCTTGTCGAGTAATAACAGTATAGGCAGATTGGGGCTACAGTCCAAGTAAGGAGAGGTCAAGGGTTAAAGCTTACCATTTATCTTAAATGCCCCCTATGTATGTATATGGAGGACATGGGAGGCTCTGAGGAGGTATACAAAAATTTAGATAATTACATCATTAGAGTTGAAGGATTTCTAAAGTGTTAAAAGAACATGTTTCTCTTGCTATTGATTGGGGAACACAACATTACTTCTGAGGTGTATGCTCTTACTGTTGAGTTTCTCCTCGCCTATTGCCTTTGCCATAGATGCTAATACTTTATAATTTGTTTACAAAGAACCTGTTAAGTGAGAAAATGTGGTGGAACTCGGGGCTTCCATTACCGACATATTCTTTTGGAAAATACATTTTTCTGACTATCCTGCTTCAATACTTTGAGTCGGTGACCTGGAACATGTTTACAGATGAGGATTTCTGAGTTTCCTGATCAGTGTGCATACAGTATTTCAGGGCAGTGTTATAGCCAGAGACAGCATAGCAGTGAGGAAACTAACATTTTAGGAGGAGGCCTGCAATGAAAGCCCTAACTATCACTGTCAGGTTTATTTCACGGCTGAGCTCCAGGCAGGTATTAGAGCTATTAATAAAGTTAACAGCTGGTTATTATATAAACTTAAAGTTTAATCTGCTTATATTTTGCCTTCCCTAATTCCTCCCTCCCCCCTCATCAATATACTAATTACATTTTTAACTAAAACCTTTCTGTTTTAATTACATGCCTTATTTTGTCTTCTCTGTGTATTGCTGGCAGATTATCGCTGCTGGGAGTGGCTGGCAGAGTGCTGTACATAGCTGTTTGGAATTATCACAGTAGCCTCAGTGCTCCTCTTGAGCCCTCAGCCCTTATGTAAGCCGTAGGTTGGCTCTTGGGAGGCATGCAATATCAAAATGCCTTCATAGGTGGATGTCAGTCTGGAGGAGTGGGCATTCTAGACAGGCTGCATTTGCATGCTGACTACCTTAGAAAATGCTGACTTGTGTTGTTAAAGGAGAACTATGGCGTCAGTGTTTTTCCCCATAGTTGTCCTTGGGGTAACGGGAGGACACAAACTAGCGTCCTCCCGTCACCCTAAGCTCAGTATACCGCGAGCTACAGCTCGCGGTATACTGAGACGCCGCACCTGGAGCGCATCCCGACTTAGATGACGGGATCCGCCCAGCTGCGTGAGTGACAGCTGGCTCTGCCTATCTAGAGGCAGAGCCAGCTGTACCCTCCCCCGTCCGTTCCGCCAGTCAGCGCTGGCAGATCGGAGCGGGGAGAGGGGAATCCAGCCCCTCCCCCTGTCATGGCAGAGAGCCATGACAGGATCGAGAGTTGAGCGAACCCGGTATGTTTTCTCTCACCTCCCGATCTACTGAGCCGAACTGTGACAGTCTCATTGTCACAGGTCGGCTTAGAACTATGAGGTGAGTGGAAATCACTCATGTCATAGTTCTCCTTTAAACTTCATGATTGAAATGGAACCCAATGAATAAAAGGAGCGGGCCAGGGACAGTAAGGCTGGGTAGGAAAAAGCTGGATGATGCTGGACATCCTGTAGCCAGGAAATGAGGTGGGTGCTATCTGACTTGCAGCTTCTAATGAACATTGTGAGAATCTTACAGTTTGCAGTGAAATCAGAGTAAGACATTTCAGTACAGAAGGGAGAATATAAATATCGATATATAAATATCGATACATGATACGGAAAAAGTGGCATCTTTGGTGCATCCCCAATAAAAATAATTTTAAAAATACAGCTAGAGTAGGAGAGAGCAGATACATGAGCTGAATTGTGTGCTTCTCTTTTGACTGCCTAGTCACAGGGTGAGGGAGGGACAAGACATGTAAGTGTTACTGAACTGCAGGAAAAAAAATAATGGGTCTTCTGTCATGCTAGACAAGACTGTGTTGTGTGGCAGAGCTGCATGAATCTCAGGACTGGTTATGCAGAAACACAAATCCTTTGTTGGGTAAAAACACTCGCTTCTATGTGCTTCATGTATGTTTTCCTGGAATTCAGTGTTAATGTTTTGTATCATTTGAGCTGCTGGAATCAAAGTAACAGCTTCTTTGTCTTTTGTCTCCAGAAGCCACATTTGTTTTGGAGTAAAGTCTGCAGAGCAGATGAGGCAGCAGGCACACATTCAGGTGGTAAGCAAGAGCCTGTACAGCCAAGACAACAGCCGTACTCCTTTGTCTTATGGAGTACTGGATCATCGCATGGTATGTCCTTATGGATTGCTAGTTTTATTGTTAAACAGTGTTACTTGCAGGTACTTGAAAATAACTAATGTTGCATGTTAATATTTTTTTTTCTTTAAAATTCCCACTGTGTATATTAAATTACAAATCTAGAGTATTGCTTTGAAGTAAG